TTTTTTTTTATGATAAAACCCTTCGTAGCGGAGCTAAGGAGACTAAAATTTTACAATTCACCTAATTTTATCGAATAATACTAATCTTAAAAAAACGTAAAGATAGCTAACTATTTTAAAACGACTTTATATGTTATAGTATACTTTATATTACTTTACTTTTTTTGGTTTATTAAAAGTATAAACATATAAAAGAACGGACAGAGACAATATCGAAGAAAGTCAATAAGGATTAATATTTAGACTTTGTACTGACTTTAAGTTTTTGGTTTAGCCGGGAGAGAAATTTGAATTCCCATTATTAATGCATGAAATTAACGTTCTAACCTATTTGAACTACCCCGGCATTGAAATAATTTTTTTACATACCTAATATAAGTTTAGTGATATCATTCGCCCAGCTTCTATCTTTTTTATTAAGTCGCTTTTTGTTAAATGTACCAAGAATGCGAAACTTACAAACAAACAAAAGCCGAGAATGAAAATCAGCGACATTTGAATTATACACCTAAAAAGCATATAAAAATAAAATATAACTTTAGCTCATTAACTTAAGTTAAACTAGACATTAAAATATTACCCCTATTAATTAATAAGTATTATAAAATTGTAAATTATTATCCCATATTATTCTTAGATTTTTCTAAAAAACTATTTGCATAATTGGTTAAAAAGAATAACTTTTTCTTTCCTGTTGCTCCCATTGGTTCTTGTAAACGTCTAGGGTAATATGCAGTTAATGATAATATCATAGCTCCATGATTATTTAGATCATGGTCAAAACTAAATATTTGGGAGAATAGAAATAAACCGTCATAGTATCTATTCTTGTACTTGATGAGATAATCTCTAAATTATTATAATATATAAATACAGAATATAACAGCGTAAGAAAAGCTACCCAGCTAAATAAATTATAATCTCACCTAAAAGTGGCCGCATTAAAAAATAACATTCGTCTGGAGTCGAACAAGAACCAGAAGAAATTCACTTAAGATTTAATTTATAAATGATATTTCCTAGTACCTATTCCGAAGGTTTAAATAATGAATAAAAATATTGATTTGATTAAGTGCCTTTATCAATCAACTAAATCTATTACAGATCTAGCCTAATTTAGGTTTAAGGCTTTCCTTTCTAAATTGTTTTTTTGTACTTACTTATAGAATTAAAAAATCAGTTTTTTTAATGAATACGGAGCCCAAAAACTTCTTTTTAAAACCGCGCGCGCTGTGCTACACCTCTATAATATGTGATTAAACGAGAATGAGTACGATCGTAAAGTACTGCTCCTACACATATTTCTAGTCCTAAACTCACAAATCCGTGACCTAGACCTAGAAATATAGCTCCTTCGATTCCTTGGATTGTGTTACTGAAAACTTCTAATATATATACTGCTGCATGTGCAACTGATGAATAAGCTATTAACTCTTTTATATCTACGGTACGAAAAGTGTTAAGACTAGCATAAATAATAGTTATTACGCAGATTACATATGTTAATGGAGTAAAGTATAAAGATGCTACAGGAAGTATAGGTAAAATTAATCTAAATATTCCATATAAACTCAATTTTAAAACTAATCACTGCAAGGATTACACTACCCCTACAGGTGACTCTACATGAGCTTTTAGTAATCAACTATTAACAAAAAAATAGTAGGTGTTTTTACAGCGAATGTAAATAATATTCCAGCAAATAAGTAATATTGTGTTGTACTGTTAAAGTTTGCCTTGAAGAGCGCATCAAAATCAGTAGTTCCCATTAAAGAAGATATTGTTAATATAGCCAATAATAAGAACAAAGATCCTAAGAATGTATATAAAAATCAATATAAACTAGCTCTTACTTTATTATCAGATCCAAATAATACTATTAATAAAAATAAAGGCACCTTATAATATTATCTTAAATTATTCTATTCAGCAGAGTCCTCACCAAATATTCTTTTTGAATTCATACCTGCCTTTATTTTTTGTATCTCTATAAGTCCGTCTTCAGTTAAATGACGCCCTTTTACCATTAAGTCTGCTACTTTACACCAATCCTTGAAATCTGAAGCCTTTACCCCTTCAATAGGACAATTATTAATTAAAGGAATAATAATATCGGATAATACGGTCACAGTAAGTTGTCCTGGTTTTTCTTTGTATTAATATATAATGTACCACAACCTAAATAGGCGATTCTCTCTTTCAATAGAAAAATTTCACGATCTGATAAGCCTATCATAAACCTAAGTGTAAGTTTTATCCCTAATTTAGATTTAACTTTGTTAACAGCCACGTAAAAACAACTTCCGCGTTTATAAATCCTGCAAGTCATTAACTTTAAAGGATTAAAAGTAAAAACTGCTTCGGCTAGGACTATACCTCGATAATTCTGAAGAAAATCCTTTATTTATAGCAGCTTTAATGAACAAAAGCTTATTAAATCCTACCTCCGATAAATGTTGTTTTTTTAATATTAAGTTATAAGCCTATTTGAAAAGATTAAAGTCCGTAGATTTAAAAGACAACAAGGGATCATTTTTGCTCTGCACCCTACGGGAGGAGGCCCAAAAATTTTGATTAATTATTATAACTAAATCTTTAATAGATAATAGTTATAAGAAACCATAGAATCTTCATGAACGTATATTTTTCCAACTCCAAAAAATTTATGTATTCTTTGTAGGATAATAATGTCTTTTGCGTGTACACCTATTTTAAAAGAAAGATTTGAATAATATTTACCCAAGTCTTTCACAAAATTAATTGAAAACCCACGTCTCCATCTGAGAAACCCGTTACAAACTTAGGATCTAATCCTGAAGAAATAGTTAAAATTTGACTTGTCTGCGAAGCGGTTGAATAATTAAACCTTTTTCCCATAGAGGATCTACCCCTGAGGGACCTTCCCTGGAGGGGACGTTAAAAATGCAAATCCGGTTACGAGATTAGGTTTAATTTTACTTAAACCCGATGTGCTGAAAACAGGGAGAGAGAGCAATAAAGCAACAGAAGATTCACTATAATTATAAATTAAAGTAGAAACCGAATAATGTAAACCATCTAAAATAGGGCTAGGGAAGACTCCAAAGAAAATAGTAAATGCAACAAGCGTTCCTAACATTATAAATTCTCGCTTATATAGGTCAGGAATGTTAACTGAAAAGTTTTGAGAAAGTGAACCACCGAATACTATTCTGTTGTACATGAAAAAAGTATACGCAGCTGAGAATACAATAGAAGAACAAGCAAGAGCACCGAGGTAGGATAGGAAACTAAGAGAAATATGACCATTAAGGTAGTAAGACAAAGAACATCCCTGTAAAGAATAATCTAAGGCTAATTTGCCCTTATTTTTCTTTCTTATAAAATCTGGACAAGCTAAGAATATCTTCCTCCCTGCCGGAGGCTGAGGGCCCGGAGGGTGTGTTCATCCTCCCTTTGCTGCTTTTATTTTACGAATATGTTCTAATCCTTCTTCAGTTAAGTGACGACCTTAAGAGCCACTCTACATCAATCAGAAAAGTCTAAAGCCTTCGATCCTTGAATAGGGTATTTTTGGAAAAGAGGTATGATTTTTTAGCGGAGCAAAGTTATCTGAGAACTTTGAAACAACAAATTGACCAAAATTTCTTTTTTCCTCAGGTTGTCAATTTCCACAACCTAAATGAGTGATAAAACTCTTCATTAACTCCGTATCACGGAGTGACTGACTAATTTTAAATCTTAAACTTATTTTGTAACCAGTTACAGTAGTACCTTTATAAATATTAACAAGGAAACAACCCTCACCAGTAGTAAAGCCTGCAATTCATTGAGGAGATCTTATCTCACTCTGGATCAAAGGTCTATCAGCTGGGACTATGTTTGGGTAGACTTCCTTTAATTCGTCGGAAAATCCTTTATTACTTGAAGCTTTTAAAGCTAAAAGATTAATAAAACCTACCTCAGTTAAATGTGCTCCACTAGAAACTAAATAAAAGGCCGATCTGAAAAGAAGATAGTCAGCTTGTTTTTGAGTAATTAATGGGTACTTATCGAAGTGAGCAATTACTAATGCTAGACCTTTAAGAGAAGATATTCGATAATATACCGCATTTTTTATTTGACATTTCTGTAATAGTACCTACTCCGGTAAAATATTTTTGTATCAACATCAGTAACGTTTTATCTCGTTCATGAAGACCTATTGAAAAACAGAGATTATAACCGTATCTAGTTTCTTTAGGATTACGGTTATCCTTCTGAATTTGAATTTTGAAACTAGCTTCCCATCGGTAAACCCCGTAATAAATTCGGGATCTAGGTCTTTAGAGGGCACTTTTATTTTTAATGTTATACCCATACAGAATGCAGCCATAGTTGATAAAGGTTGAAAGTCAACCTCGTTGGCAGAGTAAATTAAAGTTGAAACAGAGTAGTGTAGACCATCTAAGATAGGTTTGGGATATATACCCAATAGTACAGTAAGGATAACCAATACTAATAAGATTACAAACTCTCTTTTATTCAGATCAGGGATGTTTGTAGATAAGTAAGCTGATAATGATCCTCCAAAGGCTATTCTATTGTATAAGAAGATAGTGAAAGCGGCTGAAAAAAAAA